GCTGACCTGTGCCCCCGCTGTGGCTGACCCGTGCTCCTCTGTGGCTGACCCATGCCCCTCCTGAGGCTGACCCATGCCCCTCCTGTGACTGACCCGTGCCCCTCCTGTGGCTGACCTGTGCTCCTCCTGTGGCTGATCTGTGCTCCTCCTGAGGCTGACCCGTGCTCCTCCTTGGAGTGTGTCTTTGTCTCTGGGTTCCCTCTATCTCTTCATTTCCTTCCAAGTGTATTTGTTAAGAAACCAGGCTTTTCCTGTGTGGTGTAGTGATTTTTGTGTACTGGTGTGTGTTGCTGAACTTTTTAAATTAATTGTAATGATTTGTCCGTGGAATCTTTTGAGCTTTCTCTGTAGCTGGTGGTGTCTGTGTGTAATGACAGAGTTTTTGCTCCTTTTCCAATGCTCTTACCTGTTGTCTCTCTTCCTGACTGGAGCCCCTCCTGCAGTGCTGAGTGGAGATGGTGGTTCATTCGTGTTGAGTTTGTGGAAGAACTGGATTATGTATTTCTCGAATGTTTCTGGATTTTGCTGTAAAACTCTGCGGCTCTAGTGTTTTCCTTTGTGGAAAGATTTTCTGACTACCAGTTAATTCCTCTAGTTGTGAAATGTTATTCAAGCTTTCTGTTTCTTCTTGGGTCAGTTTTGTTAAGTTATATTTTTCTGGAAATTTGACTGTTTTATCTAAATGTTCAACTTACCGAAATGAAATTGTACACAATAGCCTTTCACTGTCAGTTGTGACACTGGGGCACTCTCATGTGATGGTGAAGATGCAGATGCATAAGCCTGCCTGCCCCGGTCCCAGTCCTGCCTGCCCTGCCTGCCCTGGTCCCTGCTCTATCTGCCCTGTCCGCCCATCCTGCCTGTCTTGGTCTCAGCCCTCCCTGCCCTGCTGCTCATGAGCTTTGCAAGGTCAGGGTCAGGTCATACACATGGATGGATGCCTCAACACCCGTGAAGCACGGGCAGGGCTGCCGGCGGCTGGTGGGGGCTGCTGCTTCTCTCACAGTGACGGCGTCTGAACCACGTCCGTTTCTCATTCCTGATATCCTGTGTTTATGCCTTCTCTGTTTTCGTTACAGTCAGTATAGACAGAGACCAGCAGTAGTGCAGGTCTCTACAGAGATGCAGCCCCTGGCTTTCCGGGCCCCTCCTGTGAGTGCCGGTTTTAAATTGTGAGTGGCTCCTGGCTTTCCGGGCCCCTCCTGTGCATGCCGGTTTTAAATTGTGAGTGGCTCCTGGCTTTCCGGGCCCCTCCTGTGCATGCCGGTTTTAAATTGTGAGTGGCTCCTGGCTTTCCGGGCCCCTCCTGTGAGTGCCGGTTTTAAATTGGGATTGATTTCTGTTCCCAGTTTCATCATTTCCTCCTTTCTTTGAGTTGGTGCTGTTTTATTTTCTGACTCCCAGATGGAATGTTTACCATATTCATATTTAACATTAAATTTTATTAATTTTTAATAAAAGCATTTGAAATTAGAAATTTCCCAAGAAACCTCTTCAGTTGAATATCAGATATTTAGAAATACATAGTATTTTAAATTTTCGTTTGGTTCTGAATGTCTTTAACTTTCTCTTATGATCTTCGTTAGGAACTACTTAGAAGATTACGCCATCATTTGCAAATGTGCTTTTCTTGCTGGTTGTCTTTTTTAAAGTGATTTCAAACCTGATTCTATGTCTGTCAGAAAACACCAGTGTTGTCTGGGTTTGTTGAAAATCATCAAGGCTGCAGCTGCTTCTGGGACATGGGTGTGAGCGGGGCTCAGCCACTCCTTTGCTCCCCTTAGCTCTTGGCCCTCCGTGTGGGTGGGGCCTTCCAGGACCCTCAGAGCTGGGCGAGGCCTTCCAGGGGGTCGGTGGGGCCTGGATGAAGTCCCCGTAGGTGTAGCGGCAGCTGCGTTTGCCCAGTCCCTGCTGCGTGCTGAGGTCCCACCACCGTGATTATGCAGCACCTTCGGACCCTTGCGTCATCGTAACTTCTCTGAGCAAGGGCAGCAAAAAGCCAACTTGTGAGTGTAAACTCACAAAGAACTCACATACGTGGAAGAAAGCTCCCACACTCCGTGCAGATGGGCCAGCTCCGTGCACAGCTGGGAGGTGTGGACGTCTCATCAGCGCACCAGCAGGGGTCAGCCACACAGTGACCTGGGAGGGAAAGAAAGTGTCCAGACCCAGCCTGGGCGGGAGTGGGGTCCACGGCAGGGTGGGCATGGGGCGCTGGGAGCAGCCAGCTTCCGGGCGTCCGGGAGTGTTCCCTCTCTCAGCCCAGCCACGCTTCTTCCTGGACGCTGTCTTAGGAGATAGTCAGAGACATGGGTGGAGGTGTTCGCTGTGTGTGGTTTATGCGCGTGCTGACACCGACATTAAGTACCTGGCTGTAGGGAAACGGCGGTGCAGTTCACAGCCGTGAAGGAAGGCAACACGGGCGTGGAAATCATGCTGTCAGGACCCCTGAGTGATCTGCATGCTGCTCCTCACGGTGAACGTGGTGCGTGGAGGAAGGGAAGCCACATGCAACATTTGATTGTATAAGACACCCTCCCACCCCCCAGTGCTAATAATGATTATCTCTGGATGTTGTAGTCTTTATTTTTTTATTTATAACTGTCTGCATTTACATGTTTTCTGTAATTTGTGTGTATTATTCTATTCAAAAGCAAACAGTGCATGTCCCAGGCCTGTCCCCACCAGGTTCTAGGTTCAGGTGGCTCAGGTGGGCAGAGTGTACTGGCCCCTTGAGGGCCGTGGGGAACAGTGTGGAATAACATGGGTGCTGTGGGCAGGACCTGGATGGGCTGAGCAGATGCAGCGTGGCGTGGTGATGGCGTATTCTTGAGTGACAGCAGGGTCTGTGGTCTCTCTGAGGGCCTGGGGAGGGGCCTGTGGGACCCCATTTCTGGGCAGAGGCTGAGCCCAGTCACCAAGTAGATCCCCTGGATCCTCTCACAGTTCATTGTTCAGGGTTTCTGGCCTGGAGAGCATGTCTCTGCAGAGACAGTGTGGTGCAGGTGCCTGGGGAGAGGGGCCTGCTGGGAGCTGGAGGGTCAGGCCCTGCCCTCTTGGGAGAGAGGCCTGTGCTGGAGGCTCAGGTCATCAAAAGCTGAGAGACGTCTGTGAGTAGTGGTCCCTCTGGGCCTGGACAGGGCCTCTGCCAGGTGCCTGGTTTACCCAGGACAGGGTCTGTCTCCAGGCAGCAGCTGTTCCCTGAGAGTTTTCACATCTCTGGAACCAAGGCGTGCCTTAGTTCTGGGGAGAACCAGGCAGCCCCCGCAGAGAGTTGTCTTCTGACTCTGATCCGATTTGGCCTGCAGTTCCGGGCAGCTGCCTTCCTGTCCTGCCGAAGGCTTCTCTCTTCCCCCACCAGGCCCAGCCAGAGCTGGAGGGTGAGTGAGCCACAGTCCAGGACAGTGAGCTGGGCACTGGAGGCCCTCCCTGAGTTTGTGTGGCCACAGGGCTGTCTGCCTATGTGGTTCGGGCAGCACTGTCTGAAGGCAGAAGGATGGACCAGGGTCCTTTGAGACCTCTCCCACCTCTGGGGGGTTTTGTGAGAGCCTTTGGAGCAGTCCTTCCCTCCCTGTCACACTGGGCTGCAGGGCCATCCTAGAGGGTCATGGAGTGGGAGCTGACCAGGACTGCCCCTAGGGTCACTTTGATAGGGTTGCATGAAGGGCCTTTATAAGAGCTGCTGCCTCAGGCACTTGGTTCTGGAATGCAGCCCTGGGGCCCACTGTGCCGACCTGGCCCTGAAGGCTTCAGGTGTGGTGGGAGAGCACTTCCCGGCCTGGAGGCTGTGGGTGTGGTGGGAGAGCACTTCCCGGCCTGGAGGCTGTGGGCGTGGTGGGAGAGCACTTCCCGGCCTGGAGGCTGTGGGTGTCGTGGGAGAGTGCTTTCAAGCCAGCGGCATCTTGTGACCTACCAGGACAGTCCCGGGAGAACAGGTTGCAGGCAGGCATGTGGGGTCCAGCTTTGGAGGCGTCAGCCTGGTGCTCACTGTGTCTTTGACTCTGGCATACCGTGGATGGAAAGGCACATCTTGGTTCCTGAGATGAGAAGATGCTTTTATAAGGCGCATCTGAGGATCAATGAATTTCAGTGAAATGAGTCCAGAAATGTTTTGTGAACAAATGAAATAATAATGAGAGAAAATTACAATGTATTCTGTGTGGGGCCCAAACCCATGTGGGGCTGGGAGCCGGGCGAGGTGGAGCTCATGTTTCTGCCTCTGCACAGCCGGATGGGGACACGCAGTGTGGCTTTGCTTTTCATCTCCCATATGCTATGGAATGGCAGTTTTTTTTTTTGTTTGTTTTTTTGAGACAGAGTCTTGCTCTGTCGCCCAGGCCGAAGTGCAGTGGCCTGATCTCGGCTCACTGCAACCTCTGCCTCCCAGGTTCAAGCAGTTTTCTGCCTCAGCCTCCCAAGTAGCTTGTGGCGCCCGCCACGACCCCTGGCTAATTTTTTTTTAGTAGACAGGGTTTCACCATCTTGGCCAGGCTGGTCTTGAACTCCTGACCTCATGGTTCACCTGCCTCAGTCTCCCAAAGTGCTGGCATTACAGGCCTGAGCCACTGCGCCCGGCCAGAATGGCACTTGTATAAAATGCAGTAGAATGATTGTGAGTGTGGAGAGTGCAGCAGTTTTGAATTGCCTTAAACAATGCTGGAGCCGCACTTACCGTTTTGTACTGTGTGGTTGACTGGGAATAGCTGTCCAGGGTTTAATCTGTGGCCACCCCTGCAGGCCCTGGCCTCGGTGTCCTATTCTAGTTGGCAGTCACCTTTCAGAACTGGCTCAGAGAAAAATCTAGAACACCTAAAGTTCTGAACTCCTTGCTGGCATTTAGCAGAGGATACAGCAGGCAGGGAGGGCTTCCTGGAGGAGGAGCCCTGAGTGGAGCGTCTCAGGTCCTGGGTGCCTGCTGGGTGTGTTGTGGGGGGGGAGGGGCTGGTGCTGCCAGGAGTACCCTGAGCTGAGTAATTGTGACTGTCCCTTGTTGTCTGTAGAGTGCGCTAGATGTTGGACCGAGTATGGAATCCGTCATTTCCCCTGCCCATCGCCAGAGAGCAAGCTGCAGAACCCCTGTTTGGGGAAGGATGGGGAAGGTGACCTGGGGCCAGCGGGCATACCCATTGTCCTGAGGGCCAGGAAGCGAGGTACTTCACTCAGATGCTGGGTCTGGGAGGTCCTGGGGAGGCAGCTTAGAGATGCAGGCGCTGAGGAGGGTGGGGTCAGCAGGCGGGAGCTGCAGGGAAGAGGCTGGGGCTGGGGGCTGAGGACCTGCATCCCCTGTCCCCCATCAGGCCTTCCCCTGAGGAGGGCTGAGGGTGCAGCTGGCCCAGACAGGCTGCAGGATGGAAGCCGCGTGGCGGCCAGAGCTGGCCAGCCCTGTAGGCTTAGGACCAAGCAGGGGCACTCCTGCCAGGGGCTCTGGACCTGCCACGTGGCCCCTCACCCCCAAGCCCATCTGTCCTTGTGCAGTGGGCTGGGGAGGGGTGGCAGGGTGCTTGGTGTGTCTGGGGAGCAGTGGCCTCTGTGGGTATCCTCGTGGAGAGGCCCCCTCCAGGTGCTTCTGGGATGCCAGGCCCCTGGGGAGAGGCCTGCTCTTGAGTGCTCCTCCCATGGTGGGAGCCTGTGGTGTTGGGCACTGTCCATGCCTCCAGGAAGCTGGTCCTGGTAGTGACAGCGCTCACATGTGAGCAAAGACGCAGAGACCCTGCCACTGTTCCTAGCGTGGCCCTGCTCCCCCGTGGAGTGGAGGGCTGTGGAGGTACAGCATGGCAGGGGGTGAGGCTGCTGACCAGACCACCACATCCCCACCGGCCTGGGCCCAAGTGAGGGAGGGGAGGCTGAGGCTGGCACTCAGGGGGCTCTTAGTCATGCCATGGGCAGGCAGGAGTGTTCTAGCACGCCATCCGGCAGGGTTGTCCACAGGTGAGGGCCGACCGCAGGAGCAGCGCAGCCCAGGGCTGACGGCAGGAGACCCTGGAGAGGGCCAGAGGCTGCAACCTGGCTTGCCTGGTTTCCGCACCCCTATGGTGGCTACAGGGGGCAGGCCAGGCTAGGGTGTGTTGTCTTGGAGATGGGGCACTGTGACCCAGAAGCTTCATGCTTGCTGATGGCACCCAGTGAGGCAGTGTCAGGGTTAGGGGATCTTGGACCCGGGTGTCTGGACATGCAGCAGGGAGGGGTGGTGGCCAGGATCACCCCAAAGCAGAAACCAAAGACGAGGTGCCCTAGGGAGCTGCCGCCAGAGCCTACATGGGCCCAGGGCCTTAAACATCTACCTTTTGGTGCCTTTCCAGGGCCTGGGCTTGCCCCTGAAGGCAGCCGGATGCCGGAGCCCACATCATCACCCACCACCGGCCCGAGGAAGGACCTGGCAGCTGGGCCCCGTGGCCGGATGGTGGGGCCCGGCGCTACCCGGGCCAAGAAGAGGAAGCCCAACTTCTGCCCGCAGGAGACCGAGGTGCTGGTGTCCAAGGTGAGCAAGCACCACCAGCTGCTGTTCGGCACGGGGCTGCTGAGAGCCGAGCCCACCCGCAGGTACCGCGTGTGGAGCCGCATCCTGCAGGCCGTGAATGCTCTGGGCTACTGCCGCCGCGACCTGGTGGACCTGAAGCACAAGTGGCGGGACCTGCGGGCCGTGGTGCGGCGCAAGCTGGGCGACCTCCGGAAGGCGGCCCACAGCCCCGGCCTGAGCTCCGGCAAGCCACAGGCCCTGGCCCTCACGCCCGTGGAGCAGGTGGTGGCCAAGACCTTCTCCTGCCAGGCCCTGGCCTCTGAGGGCTTCGGGCTGGAGCCACACAGAGGTGAGTGCCACTCTGTCCAGCAGGAAGGTGGGACCCGTGTGGCCCTGCTTCTTCCTCCACAGGGCCTTCCTCTCCTCCTCCTCCTCCTCCCCCCTCCTCTTTCCCCCATCACTAGTCTCATCTGGAATGTTCTTGTTAATTCATCCTCTGCCCCGTGCACTCTTTACTCTCCACCCACCTGCCCGTCTGTGCATTCGGCCAACATATATTCCGTACGCAGGGAGCATCAGTCAGTTGTGTCTCATTTTGTCTCCCTGCTTGGCGCTTGACTTGGCCTCTTGCTCACCCGCTCCTAGAGCAGAGTGGAACGGAGCGGGCAGACAGGAGGGACAGAGTTCCCCCTTCATCGTCACCCAGTCAGACCCAGGACTGTGGCCATAGTGAGAAGGGCATGGGCTGTTGGTGCCTGGTGTAGACGCATGCCGAGAATCTGAGAATCCGGTGTTTCTAGCTGTGCCGATGCTGACCGCAGCCACACGTGCTGCTGTTCCTCCTGCTGAGTCCTGCACTACCCAGGAAAGAGAAAGCTGCTGTGACTTACTAAACTGGTTTCTGACCTAGGTTCGGTGCTGTGGTTTGAGACCTGCTGCTCAGTTACTGTTTTCAACACCCAGAAGAGGCCACCCATGGTGTCAGGGTGGGTCAGAGTCCTCTTCTGGCTCTGGCAGAGTCCCTTTTCCCAGGGAGAGCCCTGCTCCGTCGGTGTCTGGTGGGTCAGGAAGGTCCACAGAGGTCAGTGCGGGCCCAACGTGTGAGCTCCTGGTGTGGTGGCACCGGACAGGTGCTGGGTAGGTGCGCTGGGTGCACTCAGGCCTCTGGACTGCTTCATGGGGCTGTGCTCCCAGAGCCGGAAGAGGAGGGCGGCACCCTGGTTCCTGCACTGGATTCCCACTGTGGGCGTTAGGGTCTCCATCCTGCTGTGGAAGCTGCCTGGACAGGTCATGCCCTGGGCCTGGATGGGTCCCTAGAGCATGGGGCTGCGGCCTCCTGCTCGGCCCCAGGATGAGGTCTCAGGCAGTGGCAGTCCCGGCACCCAGGCAGCCGGCCGTGCTGCAGGAGTGTGCTCCAGTTTGACTGTCTGAGCTTCAGGGGGTCTTTGCGAGACAGCCCTTCCTCTTGGCATAGTTGGGGGCCGTGGGGGAGCCCCTCTCTGGCCGTCAGTGGGATGGGTGGCCCCAGGGCCTCCTTCTTGCTGTTTGACGACAGGTGCTCTGCTCTCTGGCAGCTGCTGCAGTGGCTCAGCTGCCTCCCTCCCCCACCCCCCGTCCCCGACCCTGAGGTCAGACCGTATTGTAGGCACCAGCAGGGACTGGGTCTGGGGTAGCATAGAGCACAGCTGTCACGGGCTGCGGGTCGCTTGCCTCCTCTTCTACGCGAAGAAGCCCTCCTGCTCTCCTCACAGGTGCCATCAGGGCCGGGGCACTGAGTGAGCTGGTGGCTGTGCGGAGCCCTGGGTAATTAATGGGATGATGTGGGAAGCGGCAAAGTTAGAGGCACGGCTGTCCTCCACAAAAGGCCTGGGCTGCAGGTGGGCTCAGTGAAGCCTCTGGACAGTGAGTGGCTGTTGGACCGTGACACTGTTGGGGTGACCTTGCTGTGTGGAAGAGGAGGTGGTGGTCCAGGGGAGGTGGTGGGGTGGCTTCATATCCTCTTGTACCTCTTGTGTCCCAGCCTGTGTCCAGCGCCTCTGGTCCCAGCCTTCTGTCCCAGACGCACTCCAGGCGTGCACTGTGCTCGGGGTTGGATGCTGGGCTCCGGCCCCGAGGGCCGCTGTGGTGGCCAGCCTTCTACCCACCAGGGCTCTCCCAGGACGTGCCGGCAGGCCCCGGTGGCCTCCCCGTCACTGCCTGCTGCTGTCCTGAGTGGCCTCCCCACCTCTGCCTGTGCCTTACTCCTCTCCATGCTCTCAAGGACGAGCCTTCATTTCCTGTGAACAGGAATCCCTTTGCCCTTGCCTTGGCAGGAGTTGTGGGCCTGGATTGTTACTCCACAGAAGACCGCCCAGCCAAGCCTGGGGGGTGGGTGCAGGGAGGCTGTGGAGGGGGCGCTTGAGGGCACTCTCAGTGTCCTTGTCCTCTGCCAGTCCCCGCTGTGCCACTCAAACCCCCTCCATATCGGAGTGTGCACCTGAGAGGGTGGAGCCATGTGCAGACACAAGGGAGGCGGGGTGGGAGGGTGCGGTGAAGGGGCCTGGGGGTGGGAGAGAGTGTTTTGTGAGTACTTTCTTCTCCGACTCAGGCAGGCTCTGGAGTTTGGCCTTGAGGGACATTTCTCTAATTGATTACCTCGTCTTTGACCTTGAAATAGGTCCCCAAAGTATATGAAGAACTTAAAAAGCCAGCACGTGCTGCCCCTTCTCTGACAGCAGCCCCACGCCAGGTTGCGGCTTCTTCTCTGAGCACGTGGTGTCATCTGTGGAGTGTGAGGTCCGAGCAGCCTGCAGGCTCTGCCTGTGTGTGGGCTGGGTCATGCAGCCCTGGGTCTCTGAGGCAAAGGGCTGGAGAGGTCCTTTGAGATCCAGGCACAAACCGGCCCAGCCCCACCTTTCCCAGCTCTGGGGCCTTTGCTGAGTGCCACAGCCTTGTTTTATTTCTTTATTGAGATAATAGTCAGATGTCGAAGTTTGTTATTTCACCCTTTTAAAGTCTGTGACCTGGTGATGTTAGCCCCCAGCCCAGCCCCAGCCCCAGTGCTTCGCCTCACCCCTCAGCCTTATCCCAACCCCACCCCTAGCCTCACCCTACCCATCCTCATCCCCAACCCTACCCTCACCCCCAGTCCCACCCCCAGCCCACCCCAGCCCAGCCCCAGCCCAGCCCTAGTCCAGCCCCAGCCCAGCCCAGCCCAGCCCAGCCCAGCCCTAGTCCAGCCCCAGCCCAGCCCAGCCCAGCCCAGCCCAGCCCAGCCCTAGTCCAGCCTCAGCCTCAGCCCAGCCCGGCCCCGCCCCCGGCCCAGCCCAGTCCAGCTCTAGTTCAGCCCCAGCCCAGTTCCAGGCCCAGCCCTCATCCCCACCCACCCCCCATGGCTTGCTTTGCCCTCATAGATCAGATGTCTCTGTGTCAGTCACGGAGCCAGGCAGCATGTACTCTTCTGCCTTCCTCAGCCCAGTGTGTGCCGTGTGAGTGAGGAGGGCACCCCTTTTTATTGCCAGGCAGTGGGCATGCCTTTGGACATACCACAGTCTGTTTCTACTTGTCAGTGGATGCTTTCGTGTCCTCCAGCTTTTGGCTGTTAGGAGCAAGGGGGCTGTGAGCATTTCTGTAGGTTCTCTGTATGGACAAATATTTCCATTTTGTCATTGGGGGATTTTTTTTTTTTTTTGAGACAGAGTTTCGCTCTTGTTACCCAGGCTGGAGTGCAATGGTGCGATCTCGGCTCACCGCAACCTCCACCTCCTGGGTTCAGGCAATTCTCCTGCCTCAGCCTCCTGAGTAGCTGGGATTACAGGCACGCGCCACCATGCCCAGCTAATTTTTTGTATTTTTAGTAGAGACGGGGTTTCACCTTGTTGATCAGGATGGTCTCTATCTCTTGACCTCATGATCCACCCACCTCGGCCTCCCAAAGTGCTGGGATTGCAGGCTTGAGCCACCGCGCCCGGCCCGTTGGGGGATTCTTAACTACAAGTTGAATTGCTGGCCATTGGGCTGGTATGTCTTTTAAAGAGATACTCAAGCTGTTTTCCAAGGTAGCCATGTGTGTTAAGTCCCCCAGCAGCAGGGGAAGAACTGAGCTTGTTGTGCTGTGTTAAGTCCCCCAGCAACAGGGGGAGCTGAGCTTGCTGTGCTGTGTTAAGTCCCCCAGCAGCAGGGGGAGCTGAGCTTGCTGTGCTGTGTTAAGTCCCCCAGCAGCAGGGGGAGCTGAGCTTGCTGTGCTGTGTTAAGTCACCCGAGCAGAAGGGGGAGCTGAGCTTGCTGTGCTGTGTTAAGTCACCCGAGCAGCAGGGGGAGCTGAGTTTGCTGTGCTGTGTTAAGTCACCCAGCAGAAGGGGGAGCTGAGCTTTCTGTGCTGTGTTAAGTCCCCCAGCAGCAGGGGGAGCTGAGTTTGCTGTGCTGGGTTAAGTCCCCCAGCAGCAGGGGGAGCTGAGCTTGCTGTGTTGCGTTAAGTCATCCGAGCAGAAGGGGGAGCTGAGCTTGCTGTGTTGCGTTAAGTCATCCGAGCAGAAGGGGGAGCTGAGCTTGCTGTGTTGCGTTAAGTCATCCGAGCAGAAGGGGGAGCTGAGCTTGCTGTGTTGCGTTAAGTCATCCAAGCAGAAGGGGGAGCTGAGCTTGCTGTGCTGCTTTAAGTCCCGGAGCAGCAGGGGGAGCTGAGTTTGCTGTGCTGTGTTAAGTCACCCAGCAGAAGGGGGAGCTGAGCTTGCTGTGCTGGGTTAAGTCCCCCAGCAGCAGGGGGAGCTGAGTTTGCTGTGCTGTGTTAAGTCCCCCAGCAGCAGGGGGAGCTGAGCTTGTTGTGCTGTGTTAAGTCACCCGAGCAGCAGAGGGTGCTTTGTTTGCTGTGCTGTGTTAAGTCACCCAGCAGAAGGGGGAGCTGAGCTTTCTGTGCTGGGTTTAAGTCCCCCAGCAGCAGGGGGAGCTGAGTTTGCTGTGCTGGGTTAAGTCCCCCAGCAGCAGGGGGAGGTGAGCTTGCTGTGCTGTGTTAAGTCATCCGAGCAGAAGGGGGAGCTGAGCTTTCTGTGCTGGGTTAAGTCCCCCAGCAGCAGGGGGAGCTGAGTTTGCTGTGCTGGGTTAAGTCCCCCAGCAGCAGGGGGAGCTGAGCTTGCTGTGTTGCGTTAAGTCATCCGAGCAGCAGGGGGAGCTGAGTTTGCTGTGCTGTGTTAAGTCCCCCAGCAGCAGGGGGAGCTGAGCTTGTTGTGCTGTGTTAAGTCATCCGAGCAGCAAGGGGAGCTGAGTTTGCTGTGCTGTGTTAAGTCACCCAGCAGCAGGGGGAGCTGAGCTTGTTGTGCTGTGTTAAGTCACCCAGCAGCAGGGGGAGCTGAGCTTGCTGTGCTGGGTTAAGTCCTC